AACCCAGCCCCCCCCGCACACACACACACACACACACACACACACACACACACACCACCACCACCACCACCACCACCACCAACATTCCCTCCTACCTGTCTCTAGGAACATGGCACTTGAGTGACTGTTGGTGATGTCCCTTCTTTGTCCTCTCCTTACTGTCCTGGACTAGGCAATGGATGGGTGGAGGGTGGTGAAGCCTCTTTGGCACCAGGACCTCTCTCTCAGGTCCTCCAGCTTGGCTGGTCCCATCTGCTGAGAAATTCTGGAACTTAGAATGCTGGGTCTTTAGCGGCTTTGGTCCTGAGCTTTGGCTACACCTCAGGAGAAATCAACATCCTGCTGCATGACGACAGTGTTTCTCACCTGCTTGTCAGAGAAAACTGAAATCTACATCTGTATGTGAAATTGCCTGATTTGAAGTTGTTGGCAGCTGGTTAAAAATTCATTTAAACAGAAAATCTGATGCAGGCAAATGGCTTACTTCTGCAGTTGAGTCCATGGGAATTTGTAGCAGTGACGGAGTGGTGGCCTCAGCCAGAGAAGTGGGCCAGGCCTGGCAGAGGTGGCAGAGGGTGCCTGTCACTGATGGTGTACCACCCTGCAGGGTCTCAGAAGGAGAGGCAGGTGTACCGCAAGGCCATGAAGAAGCTGCTCAGTGTGGAAGCCTGGGGGAAGAGGTCGCGGATGCAAAGGGCCAGCAGGCGCAGCCTCCAGCGTGACAACCTCCTGGAACCCCCCGCCAAGCCCAGCATCACTGGCAAGTTCAAGGTGCTGGAGCCACCAGTGCTGGGCCATGATTTGAAGCTGGCTCTGAGCTTGGCCAACCTCACCTCTCAGGCCCTGCAGGTCCAGGTCAATCTGAGCGGTGCCACCATTCTCTACACCCGCAGGCCAGTGGCAGAAATCCTGCATGAGTCCCATACAGTGAGGCTGGACCCACAAGAAGGTGGGACACCATGGCTTGGTAGCACTTGGCCAACCCAGAGAGGGTTGGGACAAGGGAGGGGGATCCTGGATCTATATTCATTCCTGGGAAGGAAAGGGACATTCCTGAGCTTTGTGCTCAGTGCTTCCTCTCATCCCCACTTTACAGATAAGAATACTGAGGCTCGGAGGGGCAAATCATGATAATAGTAATACAAGTCTACAATCACTGGTAGCAAACTGACCTATGGTGAAGTGATCTGTAATCTCCAAACTATCCCAATTGGTATGAGTATGTATATTGCAAAGATACACAGCTCAGACTATGAGGCGTGCCTTGTATTGTTTTCTAATATCTAAAACTATATTGGAGTCCATCCGGCTCCAGGTGTGCTGCATAGAGGAAAGGACCAGTAAGAGATAGTAAACACCCTTACTGCCAAGCTGTCCCGAGAACTCGGCGGGTGCTAGTGGGGAGCACCATCCCCAGAGCCAAGCAAAGCCAGAACTGCAGGACCTGGGGGCGAATGGCTGCAGCTTGCTCTGTGGTTTGACTGTGGATGGTGGGCAGGTCAGGCGTGCCAGGGACTCATAAAGCGCCTGACAGCATGTTTGCCTCAAGCATGGCGTTTCACTGCAGAGCCACTAAGTGGCTTCAGGCTTTGGGAAGTTTCTGTATAATTTTAACTGACTTTATTCCAATTGCCTTTTTTAAAACGTATCAAAGATGTTTTTCTTTCATGATTATTGAACACACAGTGTTTCATGTATGAGTTAGTAAATGTGTCCCGTTTTATTATTTTTACTTCCTTCTCCTTTCTGCCTCTGCTTCCCTTCTTCACCTCCCTATTTCCCTCTTCCTCCCGCACCTCCCCCCATCTCATTGTCTCTTTCTAGCTGTTTCTCCCTCCCTGTCTCTGCTTACCCGCTTCTCCGTCCCTTCTTCCCTCCCTCAACTTCCTCCCCCTTCAAGGAGTCAGTTAAACAAAGTTTAATTGAAATTGTTCTCTGGACCAGTTTCTGGCAAGTGAACCTTGTAGAGTTTGACAGGGCATGAAAACATGTGAAGGAGGTGTCACACGTTTTTAGCTCTTTTTGTCATTTTTTTGTCACAAAATTTAAATCACAGAATAACACTTCATAATGAAATATTAATTAACATACACTTTCCCCTGGCTTTTTGCAATTTTTTTCATGTTAAAAGTAATACATATTCATTAAAGATTTTAAGAGCAAACAAAAAAATCGTTTGTGATCTTACCACCCACCTACAAACTGTTAACAGGTTTTCTTTCCAAATTTTAATGCCTATTTGCTTTTGAAAAACAGAGTTCTAATTAAATATTGCAAATACTCATTAGTGCTCTGCTCCTTTCATGTTACATTATTATTTAAATATTTTTAAAGTGCTTCATAAACATCGTTTTAATAAATATGTACTGTTTAAATAAATATATGATGACTTATCTTTGATTTTGGGTAGTTATAGCTTATTGTTATTAAAAATAACACTAAAGTAAACACCCTGGTGCAAAACTTTGTCACTTTTTTCTTCTGGATTTTGGACTATTTAATTAGAACAGATTCACAAAAATGGAATTCTTGAGCCAAGTGGCATGACTATTAGACATAATTTATTGAAATATATTTTATTTTTTAATAGACTTTATTTTTTAGGTTTTAGATTTACAAAAATATTTAGTGGAAAGTACAGAGAGTTCCCATCTACCACTTCACCACTGCCCCTCTCCTCTTATTAACTCATTTCATACCCATGGTACATTCATTATAACTGATGAGCTGATGTTGACTTGTTATTTTTAACCGAAGTTCATAGTTTACATTAGGGCTCACTCTCAAAGTTATACATTCTGTGAGTTTTGAAAAATGTATATAGTAGCTCATATCTATTATTAAAGAATCATAGGAAATCATTCCACTGCCTTAAAACTCCCCTGTGCTTCGTGTCTTCATCCCACCTTCCCTCTCTCCCTCCCTCCCTGCCTAACCCTGCATCCCAGCAACTACTGATCTTTTTGCTGTCTTTTTAGTTTCACATTTCCAGAAAATCATAGAGCTGGAATCATACAATTGGTAGCCTCTCAAGTTGATTTCTTTTCCTTAGCAATACATACTTACACATCCTCCATGTTTAGTTTTGTTTTGTCTCTTGATATCTCACGTCCTTTGATCACTGAAGAGTATTCCCTTATATGGGGTGCAGTGTGTGTGTCCACTCCTCTACCCGAAGGCATCTTTCTGGTTGCCTAGTTTGGAGCAATTAAGAATTAAGCTGCTGTAAGCATCTATATAAGTCCATTTTGAGTTAGTACAACTAAATATCTCAGGCAAATTAACTTGAAAAGAAGGAGCAAAAGGAAGAAGAGAGGAAAGTAGAGAGGGAGGGACCAAGGATATCTAGTTCACAGCTTCGAAGACTGGAAATTCAGATACATGGCACAGACTCTGGCAAGGGCCCCTCCACTAATGACAGAGCACCTTGTGAGGGAAATATATCCTAAAACTGGAAGGGAGACGTGTTGGGGTCCCACAGTCTCCTTCCGGGGCACACCCTCAATGACCTATGGACTAACACTAGGCCCCACCTCTTAAAGGTCCCGCCACCTCCTGATATCGCTACTGTGGCAAAAGCCGCCAACACAGCAATGTTTTTAGAAACAAGCAATATTTTAAGTAACATCCAAACCACAGCAACACCATGACTTACAGGTTTTTGTGTGAACAATACATTTTTCATTTGGATAAATACCCAGGATCATACAGTAAGAGTATGTTTAGTTCTGTAAGAAAGTGCCACACTGGCTGTACCGTTTTGCATTCACAGCAGCAAAGAATGAGAGCTTCTGTCGTTCTATATCCTACCCAGTATGTGATGTGTATTTTGGATTAATGCCATTCTAGCAGTTTTGTAATATTTCATCGTTATTTTAACTTACAATTCTCTATTGATGTGTGATGTTGAATATCTCTTCCTATGTTCATTTGACATCTTCATGTCTTCTTGGGTGAAATGCTTATATTTTCTGCCCATGTTTTAATTGGATTTTTTGTTTTCTTATTGTTGGATCTTAGAAAGTCTGTGTCTTTTATCAGATGTGTCTCTAGCAATTATTTTCTCCTACTCTAACTTGCCTTCTCATTCTCTTGACAGTGTAGAGTTTTAATTTTCATAAAATCCAATGTACCTATTTTTCCTTTCATGGATCATGCCTTGGTGCTGTATGCAAAAAGCCATTATCACTTGCAAGCTCAAGGTCCTGGGTTTGATCCCCGGTACCAACAAAAAAAAGTCATTATCAAACACAAGGTCGTCCAGGTTTTCTCCTATGTTATCTTTAGATTTGCATTATTGCATTTTATGTTTAGGTCTATGACCTATTTTAAGTGAATTTTATGAAGATTACAGGGATTATGGGATTACAGGCATGTACCACCATGACTAGCTGTCTAGTTTGGGGTTTTTTGTTTTTTGTTTTTTTAATTATCCCAGCACCATCTGTTATAAAGACTTCTTTCTCTGCTCTATTTCTTTGGCTTGTTTGTCAAAGATCAGTTAACTATATTTGTGTAGGTCTATTTCTGAACTCTAGTCTGTTCTACTGATCTAATGTCTCTTCTTTCACCCACATCACATTGTGGCTTTAAAAGTGGGTCTTCAAATCAGATGGTATCACTCCTTCAGCTTTGTTCCTCTAGCTAGAACTTTCAATACTATGTTGACTATTCTGAGTCGTTTGCCTCTCCACATAAATTTGAGTTAATTTATCAGTATCCATAAAAACTTCTTTTGATTGATATTGCATTGAATCTGTAGATCAAGTTAGAAAGAATGGATATCTTGACAATATTGAGCCTTCTTATGAATGAAAATGGACCAGGTCTTCATTTATTTAGCTGTTTGATTTTTTTCATCAGAGTTTTTAGTTTTCCTTGAGATGATCTTGAATGTGGTTTTTTGTTTGTTTATTTGTTGTTCATTTTTTTGTTTTTTCCAGTACCAGAGATCAAACTCAGGACCTTGCATTATGAGGCAGGTATGGCGCCATGAGCTAAATCCCCGGCCCCATGTTTTTTAGATCAATACCTAAGTATTTCATTAGAAGGGGCTGACATAAATGCCCTTCTGTTTTTAATTTCAAATTGCAGTTGTTCATTGCTGGTATATAACAAAGTGACTAACAACATTAATCTTATTTTGTAAACTAGCTATGTCCAGTAGTTTTGTTTGTTTGTTTTTGCTATCAATTCTTTTGGGATTTTACATAGACAATCATGTCAGGTTTGAACAATATTATTTTTAATTCTTTCATCCCCATCTATATACCTTTTATTTCCTATTCTTATTTTACTGCATTAACTAGAACTTTCCAATATAATGTCAAAGAAAAGTGATAAGAAGGGACTTCCTGTCCTTGTTCCTGATCTTGGAGAGAAAGCTACTAGTCTCACCATTGAATTTGATGTGTGCTGTAGGGTTTTTTGTAGCTCTTCCATATCAAGGTGAAGATGATTCCCCCTGTTCCTAGTTTTCTGAGAGTTTTTATCATCAGTGTGTACTGGAGTTTGCCGAATTATTTTTTGATATCTGTTATTAGAACCAAATAATTTTTCTTCTGTTATTTGATGAATACATTAATTGACTTTCAAATGTTGAACTATCTTGCATGTCTGAAATAAATTCCACTTGATCACGATGTAGAATTCTTTTTATTTATTGTGAAGTTGAATTGCTGATATTTTGTTGAGAATTTTTGCATCTATGTTCATGAGAAATATTGATCTATAGTTTTCTTTTCTTATAATGCTTTTGTCTGATCTTGGTATTAGGATAATGCTGGGCTTTAAGGATGCGTTAGAAAAGGTTCTTCTGCTTCCTTCTTAGGGAAGACATTGTATGTATTTCATATAATTTCTGCATTAAATACTTGCTACAATTCACCAGCAAACCCACTGGGGCATGATGCCTTTTGTTTTGGAAAGTTATCAATTATTTAATGCATATAGGACTATTCTTATTGTCTATTTCTCTTTGGCAGATTATATCTTTCTAGGAATTTTTCCATTTTCAATTTTAGGTTATCAAATTTGAGGGCATAGAGTTATCCATATTTTTTTTGCTATATTTTTATGCCCATGGAATCTTAGATTTCTGATGTTGGTGATTTGTATTTCTTTTTTCCTCCTCACAGCCTGGCCAGAGTCTCATGGCTTTTATTGATCTTTTCAAAAATCCCAGCTTTTTGTTGCACCTGCCTGGCAAGCACACCAAGTTCTATTCTCAGTACTGGGGGCAAAAAAAAACAAAAAACCTTTAGATGTTATTGATTTTTTTCCTATTGATTATACTTTCATTTTCAATTATTTCTGCTCTAAATTTTACTATTCTTTTTATCTGTTTGTGTTGGGTTTAATTTTTTTCCAATTTTTTGAAATAGAAACTTAGATTATTGACTTTTTTTTTTTTTTTTTGAGACAGGGTCTCACTACTGTAGTTGAGAATGACCTAGAACTCACTATGTAGCCCAAACTGGTCTCAAACTCACAGCGATCCTCCTGCCTCAGCCTCCCGAGGGCTGGGATTACAGGGGTGCGCCACCACACCCAGCAGGTTATTGACTTTAAATCCTATTTCTTTTCTACTCTATGCACCAAATGATAAACATTGTAATCACTGTTTTTGCCACATTCCTCTATTTGATGTTTTATTTTTGTTTTCATTTAGTTGATAATATTTTTAAATGTATTTGACATGTCTTATTTGGCCTACTTTTTTTTAGAAATATGTTAATTTCTAAGCACTCTGGATTTTCTAGCTATCTTTCTGCTATTGGTTTCTAGCTTAATTCCATTGTAGTCTTCGGGCATACACTGCATGATTTCTAATCTTTCAAGGTTGCTAATGTGATCTTTGTGGCACAGAATGTGATCTGTCTTGGTGACTGTCCCATGTGGACTTGAGAAGAATGTGAATTCTGCTGTCATTAGAGGAAGTATTTGATGTACATCAATTATATCCATTGGTGCTGTTGAAAATCACTGGTCTAGAGAAAAGGTCTCAGCTTTGCTCAGATTATCAGTAGAATCCATGGTTCAGAGGCCTTCAAGAAGCTTTAGTTGGACATTGTATTTTTTTTTTCTGACTTTTTCTCTGGGTTTGAACTTGTACCGCAGCTCCGTTTATACATATCATTTGGTGGCATATGGTGGTTCTTTATGCTGAAGCCTATTTGCATTTCTAATAAGTTTCCTAGTGATCTTGATACAGCTGTTCCCAGGACCACACTTTGAGAACTATGGTCTCCTGCTATACAAGGAGTAAATGAAATAATGTAAACACAGTATTTGGCACAATTCCTACCATCTAATGAACATACACTTTTTGGTGGTGTTTGTCAGTGCTTTCATATTACTATAAGTTGGAGGTAACAGTTACAAGATCTGCCCATGGAATTGTGGTGATTAAATAAGTTTATCCATGAATATACTTCCAAATTCCCAGCATGCTTTAACCCTTAATTAAAAATTAGCTTTTATAAATTATGAATTGTTGTGTTATTGACGTAAAAGTTCTTCTAGCAATAACATATTAGAATAAGGGAGTCCAGAAAACAAGCCAGTACTTTAACACGTGGACAGCCTACTGGCATTCAGGATCATTGCATTATATGCAGAATCCTGGGGGACCAAGAGTATGAGCCAATTCAAATTTGAGCATCTTTTCCACAAGTTCAAAACTCAGATGCCTTTGGGGTCAGGGAACAGAAGCATAAAAGGAAGAAAGGATATAGGGCCTGGAACAAACCAAAAAGGACACATTGCACTTAAAAGAAAAGAAACGTAGTAGGAAGAAATCCCAAATATAACTGACAGGGAAATATTGCTTGTGGTCATATACACAAGAAGAGAATCCACAGGCAAGGAGTCTGTGCCTGAAGAGAGGAAGACAGAGATGGTCAGGACCACAAGAACTCGGGAAACATGTGAGTACTTTAGGGAAAGTTTAGACACACATTTGAGAGGTCTTGGAGAGACAGTCCGACGGCATGATAGCTTCCTGCCCCACTTCACTTTGGTTCCTTATGTACTTTCTGTGTGACTTTGGATAAGAAATTACCCTCTCTGAGCTTTGGGTTTCTTTACGAACTAAGGAGAATAATGCCTTTCTCAGAATGGATCAGAGGGGATATAGCTATTAGTTGGGCATCCCTTTCCTCCTTTTGGGTACCACTCAGCCCCAACTCCCATCTCTGCCTTCCCTTCTAGAAAAGAAAATCCCAATCACAATATCTTACTCTCAGTACAAAAAGGACCTGACTGAGGACAAGAAGATCCTATTGGCTGCCATGTGCCTTGTCTCCAAAGGAGAGAAGCTCCTGGTGGAGAAGGACGTTACTCTGGACGACTTTATCATCATCAAGGTGATGTCTGTCCACACCCAACACCCTGGTCCTAGAAGGCCCCCTTCCGTGCCTGGAGAGACATCAGAAACTGGGAGGTTGTGCCTTTGGCTCGCCAGGGTCGGAAGGAGTGGTGTGGATGCGGGGGCATGTGGAGGCACAGAGTAGATGTGACTAATCCTCTCATCCAACCAGGAACGTGGGCTTCCTGGGAGTTGGGGGCGTGGCTCATGGGTGTTGCCCCTCCAGGTGCTGGGCCCAGCCACAGTGGGAGTGGCAGTCGCTGTGGAAGTGACCATCATCAACCCCCTCTCAGAAAGAGTGAAGGATTGTGTGCTGATGGTGGAAGGAAGTGGCCTTCTCCAAGGACAGCTCAGCATTGAGTAAGTGCCAATCTGGGTTGGCAAGAAGAGGGGCTGCCTTCCTCAGGGCATGGGCCAGAGAGAAGCTGCTTGGAGAACAGGAGACATCCTAGAAACTATTAACAAACCTAGGCACATCAGCCTTCATCCATTCAATCGTGAATTTACTCAACATTATAGCTCATTTGCTCACACACTCACATCATTCATTCACACTTTCATTCACCCATTCCCTGTTCATTCATCCTCTTTTATTCATTCATCCATTCTCTTATTAACATTTTTCACTCACTGATTCAGTGTTTGTTAGTCCACTCATCCACTCATTCATTCTTTATTTGCTCACTTATATCTATTCATACACTCACTCATTTATGCATTCACCTGGTCATTCATGCATTTTGTCCCCAAATACTGGAAGAAAAAAAAAGAGGAAGGAAAGAAAGAGGACTTGCCAGACAGAGGTCTCTGTGACCGATGTAGTCAGAGAAGTTCCCCTAAGGAGAAGAAACTTGACCAGGGCCTTGGGGTGGAGAGAATGGGAAGGCATCCTGAAAGAGGGGAGCCTAAAAACAAAAGCCCAGGGAAGGGAAGTGTTAGGTAAATTCAAGACACAAAGGAGACTAGCCTGGCTAGAGGCCAAGAATGGGAGTGGCAGGTGGAAAGATTAAGATGGAAACACGTTGATGAGTTTCAAGTGTCAAGCAAAGTATACTTGGCCTGTGTGCTTCAGGGAGCCTCCACTGACTTAGCGTGGAGAGAGGGATGATGGTCTGCCTTCCTCTTTCCCTTGTCCCCAGTGTACCCACTCTGCAGCCCCAGGAGAGGGCCTTGGTCCAGTTCACCATCACCCCGTCCAGGAGTGGCCCACGGCAGCTGCAGGTGGACCTCGTCAGCCCCCACTTCCCAGACATCAAGGGTTTTCTGATCATCCGTGTGGCCATAGCCAAGTGATGGGCCCAATGAGAAGGAAGGATATGTTCACCTAATGTTGCTCCCTTGTGGGGAACCAGAAGTCCTAGGTGCATCCTATTTCAGTCTCTGCTCTCCTAAGCTTCACTTTCCTCATTTTTAAAATGAAGTGTTGGACTCAGCAGTCACTGACCTTTTGCACAGATGTAAGGACATAGGCCTTCTCCACCCCACCATCTCATCCCTGCTGTAGCTGGGAGACTGATGCCCACAAGCATCCCAGCAGCCTCCATATGCTCCATTACTAGATGCTTCTGCATCTACACCACTCCTTCCCACCCTTGAGAGTCAAAGGTACAACCTCCAGCAGTCCTAGTCACCCAGCTCCTCCAGCTCTGCCCAGCATTTCACCTCCTTGCTTCTGGCTCAGCTCTTCAAATATTTGGCCACATCCAGACCCCAGGATCCTCCCAGGCCTGACAGAGAGCCCAAAACACTACAGCAGGACCTAAACAGCCCTCAACACTCCATTACAGAGAAGGAGTCTAACCAAGGCCACAGGGTGAGCCAGACGCTGGGCCATGTGTATGCCTCTATCCTATCTACATTCTACCCCCAAATCATGCTTCAGTTTCAAGCAAGGGGAGAGATTTCCTCTCAATAGAAAGCCAGGCTCTGGATTTGAGGAGCTATTACTGCCTGAGAGCTGTTAAAGAAGATAAAGGACGAGCCATCAGACAATTGTACTCCCAGAAAATATGCTGCCCCGAATCTGATCTGTTATGACAAGTCCAGCCACACCCAGTGTTTCTTCCTCTGGAACCAGCACAACAAGAGCAAAATATCTCTAGAAGCTTGCACTATGCAGATCATGGGCTTGGACTCAAAACTAAGCACATATCCCAGGGATAAGGACCAGAGTAGACTTTACCAGGCTCAGATAACCACACTGGATATGAAATTCTGTGGAATTTTCTGCACAGCCAAAAAAAAAAAAAAAACCCACAAAAAAACTAAAATTTAAGATATAATTTAAGTAATCTGAAATCTGAACAACAATAACAAAACATGTTTCTCTGCAGTGAGACATCTACTGGATATAAATGCAGATGAGAATCACCTATGTGGTGGTCAAACAAACACACAGGCAATATAAGGTAGATGGACTTGTGACACTTCGGTGCAAGCATTTCCCGGATGGTGCTACAGAGTGTGGGATGGGATTTGGATAACCAGATGAGTAAATGAGTAGATTTTCTTCTCTTTTCTTTGGAGACAGGGCCTCACTAAATTGCCTGGGCTGGTACTGAACTTGCTATCCTTCGTTTTGAGTCCTGCCTCAGCCTCCCAGAGAGTTGGGATTACAGGTGCACCACCACACCAAGCAAATATATGTGTTCAGTGAGTCAGGCCCTCAGGCTGCTTCCACTGCACAGTTTCTTTTGCAAATATGGGTTTTTTTATGCTGATTCCGTGTAAGAGGGGTCGCTGGAGGAACAGGGCAGAGAGCTTCTCCCTGGGGACTGAAGTCAACAGCAGGCCACTGTCCCATTCCTGGGGGGCTCTGTCCTGCAGGCAACCAGGAGGGGACTCCCTAGTAGGGCTCCAGACCATTTGCTGTTCTAGCAAACACCAGGCACCTTCTTTCCCCTCAAAACACCCACAGCTGGAGTCTCCCAGGAGCCAGTTCTGAGGTGAAGTTTGGAGAGCAGCATATTGGCTGATCAACACCCGTGGAAGGCAATGGAGGAGCAAGAGTGGGCAGAGGCAAGGTTCAGCCATGAGCCAGGCCTTGTGACACCCTCAGGGCAACCCACAGACAGCTCAGAGCTGGGAAGAGAAAGTAGCTGAAGCTGATGAGAACCACATGTCAGTTAGCTGTTTCCAGTACTTGCACTTGGTGCCCACAAACTGGGCTCTTTAATGGGTAGCTCTTTAATGGGACCAAACTGGCCCCACAGGATATTCCAGCCCCAGCTGAAAGCAGAACCCACCTAGCATGAGAGGCACCTGGCTGGGGTGAGAGAGGTGGGAAGACAGGTGAGACAGCTCAGAGGCCCAGGGACAGTGTGCTGTGAATGAGAATGCAGTCTGGCATTGGGATTACCTTGCGGTAGGCAGGGCTGCACCCTGACAGTGCCCCTGACGGACTAAGGGCAGAACAGGTAGTTCAAGACTGAGAATAGTCTTGGAGTTGGGTTTTCATGGGGACCCAGAAAGACACTGGCACTGGGCTTTACTAGAGGCCCAACCCTCCTCTTCCTTGGTCCTATAGACACCTCAAACCTTCACAGAGGCTCTAGACACTGAGCTACATCAAGGACCTGGGCTCCTGCACAAGAGAGACCCCCCAGGCCCTTAGAACAGTGGTTGGCAAGCTTTTACCATCAAGGCCCAGAGAGTAAACACTTTAGGCTGTACAGGACAGAAAGTCTCTGCTACAGCTTCTCAACTCTGCCCCTACAGCACTAATGCTGCCATAGAGAGGGAATAAACATATGAGCATAGATGTGTTACAATAAAACTTTATTTACAAAGACACGCACTAGGCCAAGTTTGGCCCAGGGGTTGCAGTTGCCTAGCCCTGTTGTGGAGCAACAGCTAACTCAAATGCTTGTGCCAGAACTGAGCTCTGATACTACATTGCACTGGGCCCTGGAACCAAGCACAAACCTGAGCCAAGGCCTAGCCCTGTGAAATCCCCAGACCAAAACTAAGGAGATTCCAGCTTGTGTCGGTGACCCCAGATGGAGCTGTGACTCAGAGCCAGATTGGTCCTGACCCTGAAGATGACACAACCTCAAAACCTTGACTTTCCACCAAGTCCCGGCTCCTGCCAAGCTGAACCCTGATCAAACCCAGCCTTAGTCTCAACTCTGACTGATCCAGCCCCAGATGGTCCTGGCCCCAAAAAGAGCCTTTATTCCAACCTCGAACTGAAATCCAGACCCCTCATTGAGCTCCAGTCAGAATCTCTGATTGGACCCTTAGTCCTGGGCTGAACTCTCACCACACTGAGGCCTGGCCTCCATCAGACCCTAGCCAGAGCTGGCTTAGGCCTTGGCTTTGGATTTCCTGTCTGGATCTGAGCTTCTCAAATGGTGCCTCCCTCCCCTTCCTCAGTCCCTGGATGCAAATGGCCTGTCTTCCAGGATCAGGGCTCTGAGCTCCTTTCCTTCCCTACATGGACACTGGGCAGAAACACTGGAGAAATGTGAAGCCCTGGGTCCTTCTGGCTCTGTCACACTGAGAATCTGCATTCAGGACTCCATCCTCAGGAGCACCTGACCAGAGTCTCGTGCATCATAGGTTCTCTGCTTCTTGTACATGTGTCCAGTGCAAAAGGAACTCTGCAAGCTCCTGCCTGGATAGAAAATCACCTGCCAGTCTCAGCATCAAGACCCTCCTTTCTGTGGGATTGGGAATAGGGATTGGTGGAGGCAGGGGTCAGCCATGAGACAGGCCCATGATAACTTCCGGGGACCCATAGGCAGCTCAAGCTATGACTGGCGTGATGGCTAGATCTTAAGGTGCAGGCATCTTTCATTGATTCACCAAGAAGGGCCCTGGCTCTGGATGATACAGCTTTCTAGAGATGGGACATCCGGCAGCTGGCCAGCAGCTGAGGGGCATAGGCCCTCCACCCAGGGAGTCTGGGGGAGTCTGGGCCAGGCCCCTCTGTGTCCCCAAGTGACATAACATTCAACTCCTGGGACAGCATAGTGATTTATGTTTCCCATGTGTGCTAACGGGCATTAGGGGTTCAATCACAACATTTAAAAAAGGTATAAACAACAAAATGAGATATAAAAGCAAATGAAAAAGCAACTTCTTGAATAAGTAAGCTAATTAGATTTAGTGGTAAGTGCCAAAATAAAACAAATGAGTGATTGTTGCAGAATAACTTTAGTTTAGAGAAAGGAATCAAAAAAGCCTCTAATAAGCCTGACATTTTAATAATAACAATAAAAATAATGATTAAAATCTAAATCAGTATGTATGCCAGGAACTGTTTCAGATGCTTTACACATGTTAATTTATTTAATCTTCAAGAACTCTGGGGGCTGGGGATTTAGCTCAGTGGTGCCACCACCTGCCTCGCAAGCACAAGGTCCTGAGTTCAATCCCCAGTTCCAAAAAATAAAATTAAAATAAAGAACTCTGTGAAGTAGTTACTATTATTCTCTCCTTTTTCCAAATGAGGAAACAGGAGTGAGGGGCAAAGGGGACACAGACAGAAGTCACTTTCAGACACTTGCATAGGATGTAAATGGCAGATGGGGTATTTGAGGCCAGGGTGTCAGAAACAGTGCTCTCAGCTATTTTGTTAACTGTATGTGAAGAGCCAGTTGTGTGGAGATCTGAGAAACTGATCTATCAGAGGAAAAAGACGTCAGTTTTGGGCTTGTGGTAGTCATGTTTCTCTTACTGTAATAAAATACATGATATAAATCAGCTTATAAAAAGGAAAGGTTTACTTTGGTTCACATTTCAGAGGTTCAAGTCCATGATCAGTTAGCCCCATCATTCTTGGTCCTGAGGCAAAACAGCCCATCAAGGCACAAGCACAGTTGGAGCAAAGCTGCTCACCTCATGGCTGAGATGCAAAAAGAAAGAGAAAGAGGAGGACTTGGGGTCCCAAGACCCTCCAATGACATACCTCAGATGACCAGATAATTTTCAAGTAAGCCCCGCCTCCTGAAGTTTCCACCATCCCTAATAGTGCCACAAGCTGTGGACCAAGCCTTTAACACATAGGCCACTGAGGATGCTTCCAAACCATAAAACTTATGCAGTCTTGTGGGGGGCAACCCTTGGCCCTATCTCTTTTGGGGATGAAGAACACCAAGCATCCCTCTACCTGGCCCAGCACAGCCTGAGCTGAGCACCTTTTTCCAGACAGTCACTGCTGTAGCCTGGAACTTTGACTCTCAGGAGATTAGGAGGAGGGGATGTTCAGGGCACTTTAGACTTGGTGGTGGGGGTGGGGGTTGGGGGTGGTGACAGAACCCTAGGCATCATCCTAACCAGCGGTTCCTGCCGTAATTTCTCTTTTCTGATTACCAATTTCTGTGTAACACACCAACCCATAATGTAAGGCTTAAAATAATGACAAGTGTTTTACTCACAAGATTGTACTTCGGGAGGGGCTTGGTGGGGATAACCGCCCTCTGCTCAACTTGGCCTCCCTGAGGTGGCTCACAGACTGAGGGGATCATTGACAGGCCCCTCCATATTACTAGTGGCTGACACCAGTTGTCCACTGAGCCCCCAGTGGGATTTTCAGCTGGATCACCTGCCCACAATCCCTCCACATAGCCTGGGCTTCCCCACAAAGTGGCAGATGGTTGCCAGGGAAAGTGCTGCAAGAGAGCAAGAGCTGGAGAAGTTATGCTGCTTTGGTGGCCTCTTGCTGGGTGTCACCCGATGTCATTTCTGCCACATTGCATTCATCACAGCAGTTACAGAGTTCTTCCCAGTTTCAAAAGGGAAGAGAAATTGACTCTAAATCATAACAAGGCATGGAAAGTTTCTAGAGAGGATTGGGGGTCTGGAAATATTGCTGTGGCTCTCCTGGGAAATACACAACATGCCATACTGTTTTGTACTGCCTGCTTCTTGACCTTCTGGTATTCATGGGATCACACTTCACCACAGGCTGCGTTTGTCTCAGCATTCTCTCCATTTCACGCTAATTTCTATTCTATCCCCTTGTGTTTAAGCCGCCAAATTTCTTTTATGTATAACCAAGAGCCCTACTCATACAGATACTGAGGCAGAAATGAGCTAGTTATGTCTAGGGAACTGAGGGAAGCCAGTGTGCCCCAAGTGCTCTGCAGCACATTGCCCTCTTCCTGACACTGGTCAGCAATCCTGACCTTCAAACCCTAGAAGGCAAAGGGATTTGGGTGGCCAGGACGCTGACCATGATCCCCAATAACTTCTTACTGGAGTCATCTTTGCAATTTCTTCAGGCCTTCAGGGTTGTCCCTCAGAAGGATCCCTGGCCTCCTGTTCAGTGGTCAGGCAAATGAGTTACAAGACTGTTGCTTAAGTTGAAGCAAGGGAGGCAAGGGATAGTTATGGTAATACACTGCTGGCAGTAGACTGATCATAGGAACAGAACCGATAGAAGGCATATGTAGAGAGAAGGGGATTTTTTTGTTTTTGTTTTTGTTTTTTGGTAAGAAATTGACTCAAGTGCTTATGCGACTGATATATCCCAAGATTTGCAGTTCACAAGTGGATTCCAGGAGAGTTGATGGTGAAATTCCAGTCTAAAGGATGGTAGGCTTGTCACCAAGGGAGAGACAGTCTTTCAGTTCAAGTTCAAAGGCAGGGAAGACCCAGTTGGAAGGCAGTCATGCAGCAGGGCTCCCTTTTATTAATGCCTTTGAGTCCTCTTGATTCCTTACACTGACTGGATAAGACCCACACACACTAGGGAGGGCAATCTGTTTTACTTAGTGTACTGATTCAAATATTAATTTCATCCAGAAACATCTAGAATCATACTTGACAAAATGTCGCCCAGTCAAGTTGACACAGAAAATAAACCATCACACTGATGAAATCAGTTATTGAATGGACCTCAGGAAGCAGTGTCACTCTAGGTTGACTATTGCAATTTCTGAAGTTTGTCTGCAAACATAAGCGTAAGAAGCAGGGAGTCAGCATTGTCTAACAACAATGACAATGTTTAATGAACACTTATTTTGTGCCAAATAGATAGATAATGTTCTTATCTCTATTTTACAGGCAAGGTAATTGAATCTGTGAGATTTTGAACAGCTTCTCAGAAGTTAGTAAGTCAATAACAGTGGGGCAGGCAGTGAATTCAGGTAGCCCAGCTCCAGAGTCCATGTGCATAACTACCAAAGGATATGGTTCTACATCGCCTTCTGGGACATTTCCCCAGTGTCTCTCTGAGTGGAAAAAGAGAAGCTCCCCTGGTCACTAAGGCTGGGTAGGCATGCTGTCCTCTGTGTGCGTGTGTGTGTGTGTGTGTGTGTGTGTATGTGAGTGTGTGTGCTTTTCTGGTATTACTGGAACTGTATGACATTGACAAACTGTAAAAATTACTTGATTTCTTCCTTCTTCCAAGGCAAGACAGATATCTTTTGTTTGTTTGTTTGTTTTTGTTTTTGTTTTTTTGAGACAGGCTCTCACTATATAGTTGATACTGACCTGGAACTCACTATGTAGGCCAAGCTGGTCTCAAACTCACAGTGATCCTCCTGCCTCAGCCTCCCAAGTGCTGGGATTACAGGCATGTGCCACCATGCCCAGCTCAAGACAGTTATCTTGAGAAGGCAGTACCTAATTCAGTTAAAAGAGTGGCTCTCTTAGGCAAATTTGAAGTATCACCAATGGAACTTACCTGGATTATAGGACCTCCAAAAAATTGTTCAAATATTAGGACGCCTTTGGAGTTAGGTTAAGTTCCAAAATTCTGCCTCAGCAGAACCAGGTCAAGTGATATAGTGCAAACTAGAAATCAGCTCCCTTTCACTCCTTCCTTCCTCTGGAGAAGTTGTCAGACAAAGTGCCAACAGGGACTTGATTGAGACTGTGATCTGCGTGAACCAACGAAGGTTATGCTTAGTGGAGGTTCAGGCTTTTTTAATCTCCCAGCAAGGGCTGAGCTCACAGATGAGGGTGGCATGGTGATGCATCTGCATCTCAGCATTTACATTTCTCTGGTATCCAGAAGGAGGAGCCCTGATTGGGAATGAGGAAGAGATGCCCATTATCATTACTTTTACTCAGCATTGTCCAGAGTCCCCAGTGTAATCAAGTAAAAAAAAAAAAAAAAAAAAAAAAAGGAGGAAGAGGAGAAATTAAAAGGATTGGGAAAGAACTAGAACTGTGTTTGTTCATAGCCAACAAGATTATGTAAAATTATAGAAAATCTAAAAGTACCTACACATAATTATTAGGATTAATAGATGAATTTAGTAAATGTGTTGTATATAAGGTTACTAAAAATCAATTTTATTTCTATACATGGTGTCATAAAATGTTAGAAAATAAATCTTAATACCATCACAACAGCATAAAAAACATGAAATATTTGAAGAAAGAGTACAACAAAATATATAAGGTTTCTATCCAGAACACTAGAAAACATCAAGAAAAGTGACAGATCTATACACAGTAACTGAAAGATATACCATGTTCATGGATTGGAAGGCTACAAGTTGATCTTGGGATGCAATGCAACAACAATAAAAATTACTAGCTATCCTAAAATGTACATGGAACATGAAAGTAACCAAGACAATTATAAAGAACAAAATAAGAAGACTTTTTATACCAGATATCAAGGTTAATTATAAAGCTATAGTAATCAATATATTGAACTACTGACAGGAGGAATAGAATTCCTCCAATGGAATAGAATTGAAAGTGAAATAAAACCATATAGGTATTTGAGTTATAAGTTAAGTAGCACTGTAGAGCAGTAAATAACAGAAGATTATTTTGATTAAATAATGCTGGGTCTGTTAAATATACAGAGATGAAATCAAAATCAAAATCTACATTCACAAAAGAACAGCTTTCCTCCACCCAGGCCCTTCTACCATGATGTTCTGCCTTGGAGACAGCCCACTATGGACTGAAACTTCTACAAACTGTGAACCAAAATAAACCTTTCCTATTTTAAGTTGTCATCTCTACAAGGAGAAACTAAGATGGTTTTTAGTATGAGACAAGTGGAGTCATTGCTGTGACTACCTAACCATGTGGTTCAAAAACTTTTGAAACTGGTTCTTTGGAGAGCTTGGCTATGTCAACAGGAGAAGCAGCCATAGCATTAACTTGATGCTAGAGAGATTCTGATTGGAAGACCAAAATGCAGAGAGAAATGTAGGCAGTAAATACTAGACTGAGGTTTCAATTAATGCAATTAATTGGCAAAGAGGATTCCATTATCAGTTAAGACTCCAGGCCATTTGTGTTCAGCTCTGGCAGAAAAAAAGGTGGGGGTAATTTTTTGAGACAGGGTCACACTGTGTAGTTCAGGCTTGCCTTGAACTATGTAGCCCAGGCTGGCCTTGAACTAGTGGCATCCCTTTATGAGACCTGACTGAGCTAAAGTGACTCCATGCTGGCTGGCTAATGACCCCAGAGACTGTTGTGTACCCCTCCCCTTATCAAACATCAGGAAAAACTGCTTAAACTGCAAAAACCTTCTTGTGCTAATTGCAAGCTTGATTAACAAGCCTGCCCAGGAACAGATGGGATGTTAAAGGTGACCATAAAACACTACCCCTGTAAAACAAGTGTAAGGTAAGTAAAGGTGTCTGGAGTTTCTCTCCCTTGCAGGTGTGAGAAAGCCCTGGGCTACATTTGAACTTTTTTGTTTAGAAAAACCCTATAAAACCTATGCACAATCCTGTAACAGGGCCTTACTTCTCTTAGAGAGTGGAGTCCGCATATGTGAAATAAACTTCTTTCAGTCTTATCTGTGTCCTGGTATTTGGTGTACTCACTGGCTTGGCACAAGACCCTTCTGTCTCATTCTCCTGAGTGCTGAGATTATAAGCATATGCCACCATGCCCAGCCTCTGGCAGAAAAATTGTCTACATTTTGTTCATGTCCTGAGACTTTACAGGAGGCTGAGTTTAAGAACAGTGGACTAATTAATCTGGCAAAGGGGCATGGTGGAGGAGAGCATAACAGGAAATAAATTGTCATTTCCTTACAGTGAGAGATTTCTTAACTAGAGCACAAAAAAGGATTAAACTTAAAATAAAATATTAATAAATTGAACTATTTTAAAATTTAAGTCACTGGGCTGGGGATTTAGCTCAGTGGTGCCACCGCCTGCCTCACAGCCAGAAGGTCCCAAATTCCATCCTGTGTCCCAAAAAAAAAAAAAAAAAAAAAAAAAAATATTTTTAAAAAAAAAAAAAAAAAAAAAAAAAAAAAAAAAAATTCTTTTAATAAAAAAGAAATCACTGAGAAATAAAAGGCCAAACTACAAAATGAAAAATGATATTTGTAACATAAAACCAACAGAGATCTACAGCAAAAGCTGTCTATAAATCAATAAGGAACAGCCAGATAATTTAAAAATGGATAATAGTCAGGCATTGTGGCATAGCACTAGGGAGACAAAGGCAGGAGGATCACTGTTAGTTTGAGGCCAGCCTGAACTACATATCACGACCATGTCTCAAAAAAATGGATAATGGGTCAGGGATTTAGCTCAGTGATTTTGCCACCTGCTTCACAAGCACAAGGACCTGAGTTCGATCCCTGGTGCCAAAAAAAGAAAAGGATAAGTTTTTAAAAGCACTTAAAAGGGTATATATCAAGATGTTCTCAGTCCCAGGATGTCATCAAGAATAGGAGAGTAAGAATTTTCAAAATTCCACTCTTCCAACAAGAACACTGATAGAAATTATGAAAACGAACAATCTAGTACTCTGGAAATTAACCAAAGGCTTTCAACAATCTAAGGAGTAGCTGAATACTGATAAAATAAATAAATAAAAGTAGCTGAATACTGATGAGACGAGCAATTGTTTTATGTTTCAACTTGCCATTTCCCACCCTTCACCTTCCCACTCCCCCACCCCCAAAAACCCTGCAATTGTGGTGAAGTTCAGCAGTTTAGCAGCCACCGGAAAAAGGAGAACAAGTTTAGCATTCCTCAAAAGCACCATTCCTAGTGAACGGCTATCATTTGAACTGTTGTGCATTTCTCTAGAAATCCTTATTTGTAGAGTTTCTTTTTATGTGACATAGCTCGGAGATTCCTACGTGCAAACAGCCTTTTCTCCCTGTGTATTTGTCAAAAACAACCAACAGTAGTTGTTTAACATCACAAGTACCTAAAGTTGGGGCCAAAAAGGAGCTAAAAATCCTAAAATATGAGAAATGAGATGTCCATGGAGGACTGTAAAACATTCCAGTAGACATCTAGAAATCTCAAAAGCAGCAGGCATGCATGAAACTATGCACATGAGACTTTGCACTGTACAGCAAAGATGGAGGAGCCCCAAATTCTCATCTCTGATTGACCTTGAGGGTCTGCACAAGCAGGAAGAGCAAGATGAGGAAGAGTTACAAACTTTCAGCCTAAGAATTGAAGATATGCCTCATCACAACCAAATCCTGGAGAATTTATCGTTCAAAACATTTAAGAGAATCTCCATCCAATAATTTGCAACTAATGAGCAGAGACTTTGGTGGTTATACAAAATTGTAAAGAATTAGTACAAGAGCGTCACAAAACAGGGCCAGGGGTTTAGCTAAGCGGTGCCAACGCCTGCCTCACAAGTGCAAGGTCCTGTACCTAAAAAGAGAGAGTACCTAGTACCAGAGAGAGAGAGAGAGAGAGAGAGAGAGAGAGAGAGAGAGAATGTCACAAAACAAACAACCAAAAAAAAAAAACCATGGCAACAAACAATGCAGAGGCAGAAAAACTTAGTTTCCAGGCTTGCACACTGTATTATTTTAAATGTCTGGAGTTCAAAAAACATATAAAACATACAACAAACCAATAAAATACGGCCCATATCCAAGCCAAAAAAAAAAAAAACTCAATAAAAACTGTCCCTTAGGAAACCCACAGACATTGAGTTTACTAGACAGTTATAAATCAGCTGTTTTCAACATGTTCAAATAACTTTTAAAAACCATATGTAAAAAACAAAAAGGATGAGAACAATATCTCATCAAATAAAGAATATCACTAAGGGATAGATACCATACAAAAGAATTAAACAGAAATTGTGGAGTTGAAGCTTAATTAAACAAAATGAAAAAATTTGCTAGAGGGACTCAACAGCAGATTGAGCTGGCAGAAGAAAAAAATCAGACTCTTTGGGGCTTCATTTCCTTATAAGGGCACTCGTGTCATATAAAACTTATATTAAATAAACTTTTATATTTTTCTCCTGCTAATCTATCTTATGCCAATTTAATTCTTAGACCTAGGCAAGACCCTAAGAGAGGCCCTAACTCCTCCACACATACAATACAGCAATTACTCCTGTTTATTTAACCCAGAGAAATGAAACTTGTGTTCACACAAAAACTTCTGCACGGATGTTTGTACATCTTTGTTCATAATATCCCCAAACTAGAAAGAGCCCAGATGTCCTTCAACTGTTGAGTAATTAAACAAACTGTAGCAAGCTGGACATGGTAATACACACCTATAATCCCAGCACTAAAGGAAATTCATAGGCCAGCCTGGGCTACATAGTGAGTTCAAGGCCAGCATGGGTCTACATAGCAAGACCCTGTCTCAAGAAACAAAAAACAAACAAACAAACAAACAAAAACTGTAGTATATCCATGGTGTGGAATATTCTCAGCCATCAAAAAGAAGGAACTAGGGGGGGATTTAGTTCAGTGGTTCCATGCCACCTGCCTCGCAAGCACAAAGACCCGAGTTTGATCCCCAGTACCAAAAAAAAGAAGGAACTATGAGCACAAACAACACCTAAAAGAATCTCCATAAAATTATACTGAGTAAAAATAATCCTAAAAAGCAACATCCTGTAAAATTTCATTAATGTAATATTTTTGAAATGACAAAATGATACAAATAAAAACAGATTAGCGATTGCCTGAAGTAAAAAAGACAGTAGGCTGATTGTGAAAATGGAAAAAAGGACAATACACAATATAAGGATCTTCACTGTGAGATGTTCTGGGTCTTGATTATATCAATGACAACATCCTGATTGTGATATTGTAC